AAAGTCTCGCCTTCTTTCTGCCGGATGGTGGCGAGATGAGTGTTTGTTTTCCTGTCACAGTGTCGAGAAGAGAATTGGTTGATGAATTCTTTCCTCAGCTGATTATAGGTCGAGATCGACCTTGCCGGCAGCCTTCAATACCAGAGCCAAGCACTCCCCGTAAGAGCGATCTGGAAAGCTCAGCACTTAATGGCGTCTAAGGCCACTCGGAAGTCCATGAGGCCTTCAATGACCTTAACATAATTAGGACCCATCATAGGGCTTCATCGCGGGCGTTTTAAACTTTAGAGGGATAGGGGTCTCTAAGATATCCGAAGTGAATGGCGATTCGCCCATCTCGCCATCATCAAATGGGTTCTCCTTCTTTTCACACTTAGCCTTGAGTGCCTCGACCTATTCATCGAACCTATGCTTCATCAGGTCGAACTCTTCCCTAATAATCACGGCCTCCGACGTCAAAGGCTTATACTTCGATTGAGCCTTGAGGTTGGAGTTGGAGTACTCTTGGGAGCAGGACGGAGAGACCCCCAGACCCCGTGAAGCTTTCTTCTTCTTATCAACGAGGTGCTTCCTGAGATCTATCCCGCAGGCTATAGTCGACCCCCTCGTTATTCGTGATGGGCTTGCGATTATCAGGGTGAAGTGGTGGATCTTGGTCCTACCCTTCTTCAGGCGTGATGTCCCCACCTGGGACTTTGGAGGGAGATCCTGTCCGGTTGGCCTGTGTCATCTCGGCATACATCTCCTCCATAGTGCGCACTCGATTGCGCATGTCATCTAACTCTCATTGGAGGGTAGCCAGGGCTTCAGGTCTTTTCTGAGGTCCCACCTCGACCTCGGTTGGCCTTTGATGGTCTTGGGTGAGCGAGAGGTAGTTCCTGATTCCCATGGCGAGTAGATCTTCGCGGCAAATCTTCCTCTTGCCCTACTCGGACTTGATCCTCAACTACTTTGGCGTCGAGGTCACGCCGAGTGCCATTGTCGGCGTTCAAACCTCTCCCTTCTGTCGTGTTAGCCGAGTTCGCTGGCTGCACCATTCTCGGATCACTTTTTTGGTTATTGGGATGACCTAAAATGTCGGGTTCCCACAGACGGCGTCAAATGTTTATGCAGGAATTTGCACAACGGTTCTTTGCCTCGAACCCGGTCCTAGCTCCGACCTGAAAGATTGGGAAGATCTGCACAAGAGGGCAAAATCTCCGATGCTGCTCGGACTCAATATTAAGTTCGAGGAGAAAATCGATACCTGATGGTAAAATGGGGCCTCTATTTATAGGCTTAGATCCCGACAGAGGTCACGACAGGCAGTTACCTTGGTCGGTTTTGAGGTCAGATATGTCGGGTTCGAGTAGATTGAACTCGAATACTTTCAAGGTGGTAATACAATTAGGAGTAATGAACTTCCCTCCTCGGAACATCCGAGGAGGAGCTTTGCAAAACAACTCTCCTAAACAATCTCTTCTGATTGCCAATCTCTGTCCTCCACGTGGCAACTGGATATTTTATACCCATACACATTTGATTTTTCTTTCAAAATGATTTTCTACCAATTTTTGGAATTTGATAAAACAAGATAAGAAGTTGGGTTTCCTTTTAAGGGGTACAACCAGCAGAATGTAGAGAAATCGTCCACAAAACTCACTTAATATTTGAAGTTTTGGCAACAAGGAATAGAGGATGGTCCCACAAGTCACAATGTATCTTTTGGTGGGGATAGGAAGAGATTTCATTATTGATTTTAAATGGAAGTTCACAACTCTCAGATAATTGCAGTAATCTTTTATACTACTATCATGAGATCTGGTTTTCGACAAGGTTGCCACAAGACTGTTGCCACTGTCTTGAGATTCTGTTTCAACAATTCGGGTTACAACTTCATCAGTTTATGACTTGTTCTTATTCTATCTCCTTTTGTAAATTATGTTTGTCATTTACAACATGTTCAATTTTGTTTTCTCTATAGAATTATGAGCTAAACTTATTTTTCCAAACTCAGTTATAGATGATTAGCTAAGGTTTTTAAAAATTTAGCAAGTCAAAAGGTGTTTCTTTCTTCTTTTAACATTAAAGGCTATTTTTAAAGTTAAGGATTAATTTTGCCAATTAATGCCTTAAGAAAACTTAAATGATTTACCTTTTGAGAGAATACTTTCGACATAAAGATTTCGCTTGGGTAGCCTACACATAGGACATCGATCCAAAGTTACGGTTGGTTTTTAATAAATTAAGTTCACTTTTCTAATAGACATACAAGGAATGAATTTATACCTTCAAAATCACTTTAGACATAAGACTATGATGAAGAATCACTTTAGACATAAGACTATGATGAAGAAGAACATATGAAAAATATAGAGAGCTGTCTGGCGCTTAAAATTTTTCTGTGTATTCTTAGCTAATTTGAAATAATTAGGTTGACATTATTCCATTGAGTTTTTAAACACCAAAACCAACATCATTCTTGATAATTTTTACCTTAAAAACATTGGTAAAGTTGTCGATCAACAACATTTTTATAAAAAAGACTTCATTAATAATTGTGAATCGATACTCGGAATACTGATCATTCCATTTTATTAATTGTGATAGGTATACATTTGCGCTCTATCAATTATTTCAAATTCAAAATCTGAAACAAGTGCAATATATGATTGAGAAAATATGAAAATTTTCTTATGAGAATACATGAAAACTAAATCAATAATATAAATAATTATGAGAATACTACTAGAGGGGCGACTACATGTACAACTAATCAAGTATTTGATGGTCAGCAACCTTCAACAAAATCTAAAACACAAGTTAGTCTATAAGTTTTATCATCGTTTACAAGAGAAATTGGATCAGCTACTATTCATGAAAGAACAATAATGATCGAGGTAATATTCCTTTCAAACATATTAATTTTATTTGACTCGACGTTGAAAACTTACTTTTTCTTTTGTTCCTTTTTATTTTATCGAATCTTCTTTTGCAAGATGAAGAAAAATGCGTGGTCCAACACATATTGAAATAGGCCAATTATGGTGTGGGGCATTTTTATTGGTTTATATTCATTATTGGTTAGAAATAAACTTTGAAATTGGGCACTGAATTAAGAATGGTAGTTGAATAATTGATAAAGGAAACCAAACATTCTTCCTACTCAAAAGAATACATGTTTGTCAACATCCCAATAGTACTGAATTTCTTTTTCCAACATCTCTTTACTAAAACCCATCTGCATATCCACACACAATTCTCTATCTAGAAATAAATGGTGCCTTAATTATGACCAATGTGCTGTTGTTGCCCTCACACCTATATGATATTGAGTTTCCAACCATTCTCATTCATTCTTCAAAATATGAAATTTTTTGCAGTCTTTTTTCTTTCTCTCCTTTAGGACAGACACATTTACATGTATGATATGAATAGGCTGATGTCTTTGTGTTGATGGGGATCAAAATGGTAAGGAAAGAAAGATTCACGGGGCGGGTTGGACTCGTTTGCACCGACCCAAGTGTATGAGTTTTAGGGTTTTGCGATCTGGAACGTTTCAATAAAGCTCTTCTTGCCAAACAATGTTGGAGACTTATTAAAAATCAGCCTAAATGTATGGATATTTTCGTACGAATTTCTTTAATTGTGAACCATCATGGATGACTCATTGGTCTAAGGAGGCTAGGGTTAATTAAGAGAAAATGAGTTCAAACCCATGATGGCCACCTACCTTAAGAATTTGTAATTTTGTTTCTCGATACCAAATGTTGTAGAGTCAGGCGGTTGTCCCGTAAGATTAGTCGAAGTGATCGTAAATGGTCTAGACACTCACGGATATAAAAAAAATATTCTTTAACTGGGAAGCAAAAATTTTCGGACACAATTTATTTTTTTGTTTTAGTTTGGAAAGGAAATTTGTCTTGGGCTGACATGGAAGAATTTGTGGTCCATCTGGAACAAACAGGAAGTCACATCTACATGGAAAAATCTTAGATCAGAAATTGAAGTATGGCTCTATCCTTTTTACTAACTTATCGTGATGCAAATAAAAATCTGCCTATTACTGTCCCTATTGACAATGATATGTTATCATGGAAATGGTTCCCTCTGGCTGGAAATTTCGAAGGGTAGATTTTACTTACATTGCTGTAAATAAAAATCTAGAGATGGCCCGTTCGATCGTTCTAGAAGTTGATTCCATCCGTGTTTTCAAGCTCCTTTCGACCGAGGTGGAGGATGATTCAAGCTTGGTAAGCATTATTCGGGACTTGAAAGGTTTTAATAAATCTCCTCGAGGGTTGATGTGCAGTTTATTAAAAGTGAATAAAATTGAGGGGCGGGTGCATTGACTTGTTTAACATTGAAGAACGAAGATCATCGTATCTAAAGATTGAGAAAAAATATATTTTTCCATTTACAAGAGGAGCCTCTTCCTCTTTCTATCATTAAACAATTCATTTTCCTTGTCTAAAAAAATCATATATATTTTACACACAAAAAAAATAAATAAATAAAGAAGAAGCGTAGCCGAAAAGGTTCCCATAATAAAATAAACAAATAATGCTATACAAATTCGAAGCTATTAATAAGCATGCATAAATAGCTAGGTTGTTTTTCGATTAAGAATAATATCAGATAGCATCTATCTTCTTGTTGGCTACTACTAAATCTTAACGGTTCATTTTTATACTAAATTTTAACAGTTCATTTTTATAGAGGATAGAAAAAATATCAAATTTATGTATTTATCCATCCCATTAATGAAAAAGTTAGTAGTAACCATAAAGAAATAGATGGTATCTAAATTAAATATAGGAAAATATACTTAGCTCTTTATTCGTAAGAAGCAACTCCCCTTTTACCATCATTAAATATCTGACAACTAAAGTAGCTCTATGGAGAAAATGTAAAAATAATTTTTTTTTTTAAATTAATGAGTTGTCAAATATTGAATGATGATAAGAAAAAGTTAATCCTTATTAGTAAAAAGCCAAGTATTCTCACTGAAGTTACATGGATCAACGTATATTGAAGGATATATTGGAAAGTCTGGGCGAATAAGGGCGAGGAAGTGAGCGCGTAGCAAGAACCCGATGTGGCGGGGGTGGCCCTTGTGATCTGAAACTGAAACCTCCATCTTCAAACTTCTTCATCAGGACCGACGACTCCGACTTGAGTCGTCGATGATGGTAATTTGACTTGCCAGTAGCTGTCTTACCACCATTGTTATTATCTTCCGCAACCTCAACGGCTTTATCGCTTTTACAGCCCAAAAGACCATTTGAGCGGCGCTTCTGCAGAACCTCGACCTCTAACTTGTTAACCACTCCA